CCCCCCCCCCTAAGGAAATATTTAACTTGTCCAATTGTTGCTTGTGTGGGGGAAGGTGTTGTATCTTGGACATTGTTGTATTTAGAACAATGTTCAATTTTTCTGTCGTTTGTTACTCAAAACGATGAAATCGCTCGTTTGAATGTTTATTATGTTATTAAAGTTTATTAGCTTTCTAATTTATTTTGGTGTTATTTAAAATCAATTATTTTTTATGTTGACTATACGTCCTACGTACAACGACTTACAACTGTCCATGTTTCATCATCCCTGTTGTGCCTGGGACAGGATACCACTTTGTTTTTAATTGTTTTAAGACGCGTGAAAAATTATATCTTTTATTTGGTAAGAAATATATTTTGTTAGTGAATAGTTATAGCAAAGTAATCCAATTATGAGAAATCAAGTAAATATCTCATTTAATTTGTAAAAATAGGAAACCAAAGAAATGTCCAAGATACATCACCTTCCCCTACTTGTCCAACAAAGATGAATATCTTCTTCAAACTTAACGTACGAAATTACCTTCTTCAAAAAGAAGTGAAAAAAGATAGTTGGCCGAGACTGCCGTGTCTCTCGATATCAAATTGATACCATTTGTCCACGATGGAATGGAACAAGTTCTCCGGGTGTAGCCGGGTCAAAGCACAAGTCGGATGTCGCGGTTACGTTTGATCTTCGATAATGAGTTTCTCGTCGCGTCGCTTTGAGAATGACGCGATCTCGTGTGGTTATTTAGAGAGCTTATGGTCCGACACGAGTTCGGAGATATGCCATGTGACCGCGGCGGGCAACGTGAGCAAGCAATCTATGACGACCAATATGGGCAGCAGCACCGACACTCTCGGGGCTGACCACGAGTACCACGAGATCAGCGACGAGGAGAACCAAGACAGTCCGTTGAGATTCGACAAGGCGTTGAATTTCGACTTCGGTCCGAGTCTTCTGGCGGAGATGGATCAGATGTTCAGATCACTAGGTAAAAAGCGAGAAGATGCGAGATATTCCGCTTTGTGCCTCTTGCCTTGGTTATCGAGATAACATTCGTGTGACCCGCTATTGTGCCTTCTTTTCGCAGGCTCTTCTCCCCCACCACCGCCGCCCGGTCATCCTTTACCTACTGAACACGAATCGAGCAACGCGAGAAACGAACTGCGGGAAATACAGGCGAAACAATGCAGCAAGAAGAAACAAGCCACCGTGAGTCCAATAAATGTACAGTAATCTTTCTTTATTTATGAGTTTATGCGTTATCTCCACAATATTGCGTTTCTGTTATTTATTATTTGCGGCTCTTTAGATGTTATTTTTATTTATACTTATACGACACGTGTGTTTATATAATATATGTATATATATATCTCTCAAAAGCTGAGAGATGAAGTCGCTTCGATTTACAATCGATGATTCGCGAAGGCGAACATCACGCACACCGTTATTGAGTATCTATCGCGGTGTGCGTTCGGTGCGAGACCAAGTCTCTCTCCGCGACCGGTGCATTTGTTCGCGAAGAAAAAGTAGAAAGAAAGAGAAAGACCGCGGGAATGTGTTCTTCTTGACGGAGACGGTAAACGTTTCTCTTGTATTTAGGTGAAGCCTATCTCAGCCGCCGATCAGAAAACTCTCTACTCAGCCATTGCTATGGCACAGGAATTGACAGCACGTTCCATGACAGATCTCGAACATCCACCGGAGTCTCCCCGAACACCTGCCAGTCCTTCAAGACGCAGAAAATTCTCTTTTAAGTTGCCACATCAACACAGTCCTAAACCAGACAGACGACACTTTTCCGAAGAAGCTGCCAGTATACCTGACATACAGGTACATCAAACGGTTGTTTTGTTTCATCGCCGAGTTATGCAAACGAGTTCACACGTGAGATTAAAAGACCAACGACAAAGGAAGACGCGTTGACACCGAAAAATGACGTTCTCGCGTTCGCATTTGCATGACGCGATCGAAAATTCTCGTGCAATTCGTAAGGTCGTCGGAAGATTTGTGGAATTTCTCGCTGACTCGAGAGCTTGGGGGGCAATGATATGCTAACCGATACTAACTTCGCATGCGCGAGCAAAAGACTAGAGGAGGATTCTGAATGATCGGTGAAATTTAGCGTTCTTTCTCGCAACTTGCGAGTTTATCTCTCAGTACGTTATCATAGAGGTGTGCGAATCGCTCGAATTCGAATCCCGAGACACACACTTGCTTTGATGATAAACCAATTGTAATTTTTGACGGAAAACCATTCGGGGTTGGTTCACCCTTTTATTTTGAGATCGACCACATTCACGATGTGATTTATTATTTTGTATTAAAAATTCTGTATTTTGTATTAAAAAAATCAATAAGCGATTCAAGCGACCGTCACCCGTAAATTTGGCTTTTAACGTCTTTTCCATTGTATATGACTTGAGTGATATTTACTTGATCCAAGTAAAAAATTTACTAAGGAGTGTTGGATTAACTATATATTTACTTGAATCTAGCACTTTTTTCTGTGCGTACTTTATTATATTCAGATTATTGCATTCAGATTAGCATGTAATATAAATCTCGGAAGATTCGATCACACGCAGATGCTTGATTCGCACACCTCCAGCACGTTGTTTCCCCGAGTCGTCTAATAATAGAGACAGCTCTTCCTTTGTTCTCCTGAGTAACATCTAACACCGAAGCAATATGTTGGATCATACACACTTCTGTTACACTTCTTACATTCTCGAACATACGAGATCGCGGGAGGTTGCTTAGCGAGTCGAAAACCGTCGCGAAAATACGGGCGAGACGTAGTCACACGCAGGCCGTCACGATTCGGATTCCGACGAGGGGTAGGGGTTTGCGATAGAGATGAATGATACATGCACATGCTCCGACATATATCGTCTGAAAACGACTTTGGAAGCTGTTATGGAACAGAGTTAATTCCTGCTGCCACGTAAAGTGAAGAGTAGGTATTAAATATGTATATAAACAATCGTATCTACTACTAATTCACTCTGGGAGATCGATCGATTGTACCTGAAATTCGTCCGTTTTCAACCCCAGTGCTTATTCACTTACAACACGACTAATATCGACCTCCTTCCGACCCCCTTTCCCCCCTCTCTCTCTCTTTCTCGTTCACATTTTTTCATTTCTTTCTGTATTTTTGGTATTTTTGGTTCACTTATAATTTAACGTTTTCATCTTTAATTGCATCGCAAATCGAACTTTTCCGTTTGAATTTGGCGATAACTCTAAACGTCTCTCGCCGTCTGTAAAAAAAAAAAACTCTTCGTGTGCATATATATAATCTCTCCTTACTGATACCGACACACTTGCATCGATACCTCCGCATGTGCTTGATTTGGCGATACAAACCTGCTCGTTGTACTTGGTCGTTCGAACTGAAATTACCCGCATGCCGTCGCCTCGAATTCCCCCTTCCGCATGAAGTGGCTGTGCTCGAGTCTGCAGTCCCTCTCGTCCACGGTGTCCAGCATAGAATCCCTCGGTGCGCCGTCGACGTTGAAGCTACCCCTGTGGGACAAGGCGTCGGCGGAGTTCTGCTTCGCGAAGTCGCGCGAACTGCTGACGAAGCCGAGCGCCTGGGCTTCCTACATGGACATGGACTTCGACACGCACATATTGGACAACGCGGCGACTAAGCAGAACCTCGTCAAGTCGACCGAGTTCCTGGAGAACGGGAACCGGAAGAGCAACTGCGAGGCCGCGGCCGAGCTGGCGGACGGCAAGCTGAACATGCGCCACCATCAGAACGGCAAGATCTTCAATCTGGACAATCCAAACTTCGACTTCCCGCGCGAGGTGAAGCGGGTGTCCACCAGCTACGTGGAGCGCTACTTCGAGCAGCCCAAGTACTTCGACGACGAACCGATTCTGTCAGGATGCCCCGAGAAGATGTACTTCGGCGAGGAGAAGCTGGACAAGTTCGACAAGATCAATAACCTGGAGCAGCCCAACAGGTCGGCGTACTACTCGAACGTGCCCGAGCAGAGCTCGTCGGTCGTCGGCCGGCCCAGCCAGACGTTGCAGAACAAGCCGAGCAACTGCGAGCCCCAATTAAAGGACAATATCGCGCATTTTGAGGCGCGAGCCGACGATCATTTCGACATGCTGAAGGAGAAGGCGGCGGCGAACTTCGAGTCGCCCCGCAGCAAGCCGAACAAATTCGAGATTGTCCGGGACAAGGCTACGAACGTGGATCTCGGCACCCGGCCGAAGATCCCCGTCGCCTTCACCGAGTCCACCAAGATGAACATCGCGGAGTTCACGAAGAAGATCGACCTGTCGAAGTCGCGCGCGGCGAAGGTGTCCTTTGTGCCTAGAAACCCGAACCAGGACGCCAAGAGCGGCGTTTACGGCTCGTCGGACAGCATCAAGACGAACGTGAAGACCGGCGGCTCGGACAGCCCCAGGGGCAACATGGAAGCGATGAGGATAAACATACAGAGCTTCCGCAAGATCGAGCAGAATCAGAACGGCCACGAGGGCTTTCCGTTTGTCATCTCCAACAACCCTCTGTTCATCGCCGAGCCGGAGAAGAAGGAGTCTCCCATATACAGCAGCTCCGAGAGCCTGCGAGTGAACTTCCAGCGTCTCAGGCGGAAATCCGACGCCGAGGCCAGTCAAGTGGAACTCAACAGCAAGCTCTTGGCGGAAAAATACCAGCGCGAGGTGTCCGGCTTGGAGACCGTGAAGAGTTACTTGGACTCCAAGAAAGGCCAGGGTCTGAACCTCGGTCTGGGCAAGCTCACGCAGAACATGATCCAGCTGGGTAAGAACATCGCGCAGAACTCGAGGAACTTGGAGACCGGCACGTCCAAGTCGCTGGTGTCCAACATGAGGAACCTGGACTTGTCGGTGCCGCCGCAGACGCCGCCGTTGCGGAGCCTGAACATACCGATACAGAAGCCGAAGCACCTGGACCTCAACATACCGTTGCAGAGCCAGTCGCCGATGAACGCGAAGCTCAGCCTGATGCAGAAAACGGCGAACCCGCCGCCGACCAGCCCGACCATGCACCAGCACATCCTGGAGCCGCCTAAACTTTACCAGAACGACCCCAAAACGCGCAAAGAACTGCCGAAGCTGGACGTGCTTGGGCCGGAGAAGCTCGCCGCGAACGTCTACCGACACCGGACGTCGTCCTTGTCGGAGAATCGAAAGCCGCCGATGAAGAACGTACGCAGGTCCTTCCACCCCAGGAACGACTCCAGCGAAGATTCGGACTCGGTCTCGCACTCCGAGACCGATATCAGAAGCCGGCTGCGCTACAAGCGCAGGCACAAGCGAGTGCCGCACAGCCTGCGGCTGAACTTCAAGAACAAGCCGCCTTTCCTGCACCCGGACTCCGCCAAGGGGTTCTCCGCGGTCGAGCTGTGCGGCAAGTCGCCACCACCGTCGACCAGCTTCCTCAACTCGCTCTCACCGCCCTTCTCCTCCAGGCACAACCTGCTCTCTTGGCCGGAGAGCGCGCCGAGCTCCAGTCTGACTTTCACCAGCAACTCCGACCTCGACTCGGACACCAGCTCCGAGTACCCGGAGTTCACGAGCGACGTGTTGACCTTCCCACCTTCCCCTGCTCCATAAAGTCCGAATGCACCGATGTCATGGCTTCTCGAGGCCTCGATCGATCGATGAATGTGGCTTTTTTCTCTCTTTGTGTGTGTGTGTCAACGAGTCTGAGTTACGATCTTGTAATATGGTCGGAGAGATTGTTCTGTGACGAATGCATGCAGTATATTGACCCATTATAGATTCAACGTAGGTCTCCACATAACGTGGAACACCTCCGAAACGGCGAAACGTCCAAATTTGTGGCCGAAATTCTATTTGGCTGATTTCGGGATTATGGAAAACTGTTGATACATTTAAATTAATAGCTTAACGTTCGGTTTCAATAATATTCTTTGTAGGGATGAGATACCGAAGGAAAGAATTTTTTTATTTCTAAAAATTTTGAAATGACTCGCAAATCTGAATTCAGTGTGTAAAGATCTTTTGAAACACATAGTCGTACCTAAGAATCGGTTATGTTCAAGGTTTTTACCACAAATTTAAATGTTTCGCTTCACTGCACGACGCTCGGAATAATTTCGTTGAAATAATTCTTAATGTTATTAATGTTCTTTTATTTTCTATTTTTTTTCTATAAGAAATATTACCTTGTTCTACTAAGGATGGACCATAAAAATGAAATAGTATAATATATTGGCCACAAGAAACCGCAGAATCAAATTACATGTCAAACGGTTTTATCATACAGAATGTTACGTAACATACTGTACAGCCTCAAGGAGCATGTTTTTGATGTATTATAAATTGAGGTAAAAAATGTCCTATAAACATAAGTACAATTTAAAACGATTATCCATCTACAAATGTATAAAGTTTATAAATAATAGTACAATTTTTTGCAATATTTTTTTTAATAGAAAATAAGAAAGCATGAATATTACATAGATTATTCAAACTTACGTCCTTGGTTATATAAATATTTGTTGCCTTATTACTAAAGGAACTTCTTCCAAAAGTGGTTGCAATTCATCGTGTAAAAAATTGCCATACACTTTTCCTGTGAGACGTTCTTCAAAACAAAAAGGACCAATCAGCTTATCGTCAATCATATTACACCATACCATTGATTTACGAAAATCCACGCTGAAAATTAGTCTTTGAGGTGCCATGTTTTCTTTCTCTATTTTTTATTTTTAGTAGAAGAAAATATTACAAAACTGTGCTCTTACTTATAAACTTGAAGTACTTGTAGATGTGTAACTGATTTTGAATTCGACCTATGTTTATAGGACATTTTCTACTTCAATTTAGATCAGAAACATTCTCCTTAAGTTTGTATAATATATGTCATGTAACACTCGGTATATACTTATTATTACTATACGTGAAATATCGAATTATTAAGCAGGGCATTAAAGAGATTTTCAGATTTGTGTGGTTGGATAATTTTTAATGGGTTGAATGTGGTTATCAAGCCGTTATATCCTAACATACGGTGTTCATCACGCGTGTCCACTCAATCGGGGTATTCCGTGTTCCGAAATTTCAGTCGAGGTTTCTCATCGTAACGATAAGGCATATGTTAGAAATCACAGCGAGGTTCCACTCATTCCTCAGAATTCGAACGATTTCGTATCTGGAAGTACTCCTGATGAGATGTATAATTTTCGGTTATAACGGCTTGTGAGTGAACGGTATATATTAAACGAGGTATATATGAGGTATACTGATGATATATAAGGTGGATATACAATAATTCATCGAAAGAGGTGTTGTGCGAAGCAACAACAGTTTACATACGCTTAGCATGCTTGCATGTTGTACTAATCACCGGATAATATTAACGTATAATGGAACACTTTGGACGTATTTACACATTTATAGCAATTGTACACGTATTCGAGGAACCGATACAAAGTCCTGCGACGTACAAATCTGTCCGTTGCTAATAATACCAGTTTTTACTCAAGGAAGATTTATAGATACGATACACACTTGCACCTGCGTATTTTCGAATAGTTGCAGTACCTTCGATTAGATCAGAAGTTCTCAAACTGAGGTACGCGTATCATCAGTGGGTGCGCCAACCGCTCAATGTGTATCCTCTAATATATTTCTATCGTTATATATTATTAATATATTTGATATAGGTTGTATATATATTTTTTATTTATTATATAGGGTAGAGCATTTAAGGTGTTATGAGCTGTTATTCCTGAAAATATGCGTCACAGCGAAAAATATTTTCGACAAAAGTTATTTGACTCGAAGGAGGAAAAAAGATGAGAATATTAGTTTGACTTTGAATGGACGTAACACGATCATATCAATGTTATCGTGTGTTTCTTAACGGAATCGTATGGTTTCTTTAACATAAATCGATTTCCCTGTTCGTTCTGCACAAATTCAAGATAAATTGTAAAATATCCTGGAAAGTATTCATCTTTCGATGATCTTACCCTAATACTTTTATAAGCACAAAAGTGGTCATAAAGTGATCAGGAGAATCCATATATGTTACAAAAGCCATATAATTCCATTAGAAAAATTCATAATGATTTTGATACGGCCTTGATACGTCTATCCAAGGTCAAACTAATATCTTTGATCTAAAACATTTTTTGCTACGATGCGTACTTTTAAAGTAACCAGCTTGTAACACTTTAAATTACCCAACCCTGTATATATATTAATTTTACGAGTGATAACGTTCTATCTTAAATAATGTAAAATCTCAAAAAACGCGAAGATATATTAGTTTCTTCTGGTGAATGCAGAATATTTTCAATTGAACGGGCCTTTAAAGACTGTGGTCACACATACGCATACAAGGATAATTTACTTATCGAAGTTGGCGTGCGAAAATGTCGTGAAACGGTTTGAGAACGCTGAAGTAGATCACGTTCGTCGGTACGACAATAGGGCACCACGTCGGATGCAATTCTCCACCGCACCATAAAATACACTGCAACGATTGTCAGGTGTTGTCGTTGATCTGTTCAGTTGGACGTTTTGCTCGAGGTAGTTGTTGAATTGAAATACACGATATCTCGTATCGTGCGCATAGACAGAGCGAAAGACTGAGCGATAGCGGAGGGATGCGAGGGCGGAGCGAATGAGGAGAATGGAAATTGCGATGCGAGAGTCTGTTTGCCATTCACGTGTGTATCCATAGTTTCCGTCAGGCGCGTCATTTCTCTCATTTCTGTTTAATTTCGTTTCTTCTTCCCTCGTGTCTATCCCCTCCCGCGACTTGTTCAGGCCACCCTGTCGGAGGAAGCTAAGGAAGTGTACAACAGCTTGGTCGAGACGCCGACGATGGAGAGCGCCGGCGACACGAATCCTCTACGTATGCTGCGCTCGGGCCTGCCGATCGTGAGGCCTCGCATTCGCGGCAACAAGCACGCCACCCTGGGCCACTCGGTGGCGCAGTCGGAGGACGGCACCAACGAGCACGGCTTCCACTTCGAGATGCACCACAGCGGCGCCAGGACCTTGCCGAAGGTGCGGGCGCCCCCACCGCCGCACGCACCACCGCCGTTGCCACAGTCGCGCAGCCTCGAGAGGCACCATTCCGCCCAGGAGATCGAGAACAATCAAAATCAGAACAATGTCGACGAGAACCCGATACCCCTGCCGCCCCGAGACCGCTCCAAGCCGCTTCAGACCAAGTCCAGTTTGCCGCGGCATCAGAGGAAGCATCCGTTGATCATCCCCGGCGGTGGTGTCACCAGGACGCTGGCGAAGATGGCTGTGACCACGCCGCCCATCGAGGATCAGGTGGACGGGCATTTAGTTATGCCGAACGCCGGCTCGTCGGTCCCCAGCACTTCGTTGCAGGATAGTTATTCCACGGAAGCATCGGCCAACAGGTGAGTGATCGGTGGGATTTAGTAATAATGATGAGGTAAACGGTAATAAATGAAGTAACAAAGTGATAGAGATAATAGTGAAAATCGCCAACAGCAATTTCTAGTTTTGTAATTTGTCGTTCAATAATAATGAGAAGAAACATTCACAATTTCTATCAGTTTTAGTTACGCTTACAAATAAAGCTTACAACTTGACTGGCAGGCAATTTTAAGTTGCCGATCAGATCAATCAGAACTTAGTGAGAGTCACCCTCAGCCCTTCGCTGTTCAATTGATTCTAACACGAGCAACTGCAACTTCCAGCCCAGAAGAGTTTGAGCAGCGTATAGACTCCGAGCTGGCGGCGCTGGATTCCTTACCCGTCGAGGAGAACCGGCTACGACGGTGTAGCGTGATCTCGGAGGATCTGCTGGAGTTCTCGGAGAACCTGATCGACTGCGGCGACGCGTCGGAGCCACGGCCGAGCGTCCCGGAGAGCAACAACGACGGCCAATCGGGCAGCTCGTCGTCGAACATCGTGGCCGACAACCTGCGCAGGAAGATCAGCGTCGAGTCGAAGAGTTCCGTGAAGAGTGGCGCGTCGAAGGCGCAGGAGAACGCGGAACAGGCGGAGCCGAGCCGAAACCCGACGACGCCGCCGACCGGTAGTTCCGGTGGTAGAACGGAAGACTGGAGCAAAATCGACCCGTTGGCCGGCCATCACCCGATGGCTCCACCCGCGAGCGTCTCGCTGTTGTACCAATCCGGCCAGCTAGCAGGCTATCAAGCGGATCATCGCGCGGAGGGCGCGCCCGGCAAGCAGCCCGAGAGCAAGTGCGGGGAACCTCTGGTGGTGATCAGCTCGCACGACGACTTCCACCCGAAAACCTATCTCCTGGCGAACGAGACGAAGGCGACGAGTCGCACGAGCGATCTGTCGCGGCAGTCGGACCACGTCTCCTGCGAGGACCTCCTGGAGTTCGCCTGCGACGGGCCGAACACGCGTCGGACACGCGGGCCGCGCAACGGCGAGCAATCGGACGAGGTGCGGATCATGCTGAAGGTGCTGCACGAGCAATCGACGCCCGAGTCCTGCATCGCTGCGCTCAACGTCACCGAGTGGGACGTGCTGGCCGCGATCAAGCTGGAACGGCTGCAGGGTTTGCTGAAGAAGGAGAACAGCTTCGTGGGCCTCGAGGATTGCAAGGTGATGTTGAACCAATGCGGCGGCGACGTCGTCAAGGCGGCCGCGCTGCTGCGCACCACGGAGGACACCGCGGCAGTTTAGTGCGCTTCCCGTCCCGGGCTCGATTCTACTACGCTCGCGAGCGTTGCTGTGTCTCACATCGATGAGCGAGACCGCTCCTCCTCCTCCGTAGTCGATCGAACGCTGCGACTAGAGGAGAGACGATTTAACGCGAGCTCCGGAGCTTCTCAGCGAGCGGGAGAAACGACCGCGCGCACAACGGCCGGTTCGAGCCATATACAGTTTCTTTTTTTTTTTCTAGTTTTTTCTCCATATGCTTCCGTATAAATAGAAAGTTCTCTATTTGAGATGTTTCTCAATCCTCGACGTCGCGAAACGTTCTCGCCAAGATCTTTCGTACGTGTAGAAATGTTAGATGAATTTAACGGACGTTTATTTATATTGTTTCAGCGTTACGTAGGTACGAACGACGGTGTTTGATAATATGCTTTATGTTATCTAGTTGTGAGGGACTGCAAGATATTAGCTTACTTGGTAACACGCTCTTGAGATAGGAACAGCGGGAACGAACTACTAGCTCTTTATTTAATTTGCCGAGCAAGGTAACCCACAATCGATCATATCGTATCTCCTTTATCCATGAACGTGATGTGATAATTCGCACAATAAGAATTCGGAAGGTCCTTTCATTCATCGACGAGAGGGGGGGGGGGGCGTAGTCGAGTGTGTTTCGCGTTTTTTTTTCCATTTCTCTCGGTTTGGCGGCTCGAGTGATGCGCGAATGTTCGGCTATGACCGCGTGGACATTTTTACAGATCTGAAGCGACGCGTCTGCAAATGTGTTTACTATGATTTTTACGCTGTAAGATGTAGATCTTAACCTCGCGTATCCGCATGGCTTTGAGGAGGAGCACGTTGTTTCGTACACTTTGAAAGTAACATGCGATTAAGTGTGGTGTTTTTACGCGAGACAATCATTTTGCAACGTTTCGGAAACTAGTGCTCAATGGACGTCAATATCAAGCCAGTGAAGCTACGCATTAGCGAAAATAGGCAAATTCGCAAGAGAGATCTTAAGATTGCCGGCGCTTGCCGCGCGTTTTATTCGTTATTTCGTAATTGTAGTAAGCGGTAATCTGTCCGGTCCCAAAGATCTACTTCATTCGTTCGATATTCATATCTCTCGATGTTCACGAGTGAATACCCACGGAATCATCGCGTTCATCAAATTGTATATTTCCCGACTCACCTCCGGCTGTTTACGACGCTTTTTACGCGAGGATCCACGCGTGCGATCCGCGAAATAATATCGCGGTGGGTCCTGTCGATTAATCTAAGAACGCGAAAACCGAAATGTTACGTGGGCTCAGTAATAACAAGGTTCCAATTGACACTCGGAGAACCCTGTAAAGGACGGTTTTCAGATGTTATAACTTGTATACACTTGTTGGTATTTGCTAACTGTTTTAAGGGGAAAAAGAAAAAAGAGGCGAACTCGGCGACGCTCATTTTTGTCAATTAGAACCTTACCCACTCGATATTCACGGTGATATAAGTATTTGCATAAAAAATACCGTATGTGTCGTAAGCTTCGTTTAAATTTGACCAAGGTGTCACGCAAGGGAAAAACGGAAATGGTGAAATCTGCTCACACCACAGTATTTTATTACACTTTCAGATCTTAAGAGACGTGAAAAATGAAAGTTTCAGACGTGTGCGAAGTACTGTACCTCGTTGTATAAAAAGAAACGAAAGAGATATTCTTTGTAATTTAAGGTGATAGATTTGAATAAGCACCAAATATTTCGCGCATTCTATGTGTTCAGTAAGATTACTTTTACGGTCCGAGAAAAACGTGCGTATTACTATGTCGTATATGTTACCCGCCCATTCTCGCCGCGCGTTTTCGCGCCGAAACACGACCGACTGCCTCCGAGTTTTGATATCCGGTCCAATATCAGTGTCACATTTAATATAAATTAAAAATTATAAATTTGAGACGAGAGGCGGGTGGCCGGGGTTAGCCCGGAATGCGCGGCGAGAGCGCACACGGCGGGCCTGTATTTTTAAGTTATGACACGCGAAACGAGTTGTAAAACGTGACTGATGAGCGTGGGAAGCGAAAACGGTGGCTTTAAAGGGGCTACTCAAAGTCTGGTACAATAAGATAATCTTTTTCTACGGTCCGTAAGAAAAGGAAGGAACGAGAGCGCGTATCATTCTTCGTCGTAGATCCTTTAGGTTAGTTACACACGCAACAGAAGCAACAGGGAAGCAAGATGCAAAACTGACGACTGACCGTCGATGAAAGTGCATATCGCGTCTTTAAATCGATTATTCGTAGTCTGATACAGTTCCTGTTGAGTTACACTAACGCCGTAGTGATCTGTCGTCGGTCGAAGCGCGCGGGAGATAATTGTGCGACAAACGGGGGGCGAAGTTTAATCGGACGAATCGTGTCTTACCGGTATCGGATTTCGTTTAGTATGCATGTGCGTATGTATGTGTGCGTGTGTGTGCGTGTGTGTAATGTCTCGAAATTGCAAATATATATTTGCACATTTACATACGTATACGTTGAGCAAAATCGTGCTGCAGTATGCTTTCTTCTTATGCGCGCCGTGTATGCAGAGGTTTGCACAGAGCATCAAATTTCTGAAATTGACTCGGAGGTGCCTCTTCGTGTTGACGCTCGTTCTCAGCGTCAAAATAGGTCATGTGATCAAAGCTGCTGTTGAATAATGAAAAACTCGCGCGTGAAAAAAGGCGTAATCGAACGTTTAAAATGTTACGACGTCAGCCCCACATAGGTTTTGAGAATTGTGTCATTCCGAAATAAATATTATACGTGGGTGAGAATCTGTATATAGAAAAAATAATAGATCACGTAATGAGCGCCGTAAAATGTTTGATATAATAAAATTGGTAGTTTACGTTACGTGATGCTAAAAGATAAATAGAATTCAACTTCTTTTCTTTGATACTAGTGATCAAATTGATCACGTGACTTACGTTCAACGCTACAATGAGCGTCGCATGAATTGGCACTTTAAGGAAGTATTCTCATTTAGAGCGTTTCACTTGATAGGTGACTTTTTTCGAACGGAACTATGAGGCATACAATTCCGAAGTTTTGTATAAATATTTATTCGTGTTTTAACTATGTACTATAATTTCTACACATGATTATCTCCAATATTGGAAAAGTTATAAATAATTTTGTTACTGTTGAACGCGAAAAGTTGGTTGCCACGATTCCGAACGTTGTCGACTTTTGAAGTCGAAGCTGCCAAAATATTATTAAACTATAAACTTGTGGCTATCGCCATTATCACGATGAAGCCAATATCTTTAATATTTCGATTTTTAAGGACTATCAAAGCTCAAGAAATGGACAAAAAATCGATTTTTCTCCCTTAAATCGAGCCATTTTGTTAAAAATCCATTTTTATTCTACATCGTGTGGTAGGCAGCCACAAGTTTATAGTTGAATAATTTCTCACAGTTTTGATCGTAGAAGCCTACAGAGTCCGAAATCGTGGCAACCGTACATGCAAAACTTTCATTCAGCTCTGCACAAAATTATTTGTAACTTTATTAATATTGAGAATAATAATGCGTAGAAATTACCATACATAGTTAAAATATAGATAAATATTTGTACAAAATTTCAGAATTGTACGTCTTACTGTCTTTTTTCGAGAAAAAATTCCAAAAATCACCCACAAATCGACGTTTCAAAGTGAGAACACCCCCTTAAAGCTACTTCCACAAATCACGCAGTGCGCGATTGTAACGTACAAAATCATTGTTTCCGGATTATTATTTTCGTATTACAATTGCTGTGGGTGGGGTGAGGAAGGGGCGAGAGCGCGTGTTTGGCAAGCGCGTTCTCTCGTTCGCGTCGTTCAACGAAGCCAAATAGGAGCCGATGAAACCCGCCTGAGTAATTCTATGTTACTCACCGTCAGCCTCGTAGTAAGATAAGCGATCGTAAATAACGCGTGTGGTGCGCGTCCCCGCGGATGCGTTCGAGCAGCCAATGTACTTACGTGCGCGCCCGACCCGGCGCTGTTCTTTACGGGATATCATCGTGATTATGATTATTTATGCGAAATCTCTCTCAGTTGTGAGCCGTTTGACGAGGACACGCGCAAGGAGATAAGTGAGAATGTCAGGTTTCGAAAAAAAAAAAAGGATCGCATAACCCTGGGAATGATCATGGAAAAATAATAATAATAATGATAAGAGTAATCATAACACAATAATAATAACAATAATAACGACAACAATAATAATAATAATTAGGATTAAGCTCAAGCCATACCCATTTCTCTCATTGGGAAAAGAGAGAGAGAGAGAGAGAGGGGGGGGGAGAAGGAGGAAAGGAGGAAGGGAGGATGCATCGTAGAGATGCGTATGGCACAAGTGGCTGATAATTTTTTATGTACGCCGAATTTCCCGCTATACCTGAAATTACTTTCACGATAGAATCATTACGTCGCGTTGATGTATCTTGTTACTGACTCAAGTAATATTACACACACACACACACACACTCTCTCTCTCTCTCTCTTTCTCTCTCTCTCTCTCTCTTTCTCTCTCTCTCTCTGTAGGTATAAGAGGAAAATGTTGTATCATGACGTATTTTAACAGCAAGTATAGATGTGATCGTTGTTGCATCCGGGGACTGAATATCGGAATTACTTTGCTCGGTTTTATACCGATACTGCATGTAGCTTGATTTGATAAAATCGTTATTGTAGAAATTTCGCTATAATACCGATATTTTTTTTCTTTTTACAAATTTACGGTTTTTCTTTTTCGGCTGTTGTGTAATACCGAAAAAAATTCCGAGACGAGGAGCTATTCAACACTTATTGAGCAGATGTGCTCAGTATTTCTAGCGATAAATGTTGAACTGTGCCTGGCGTACACTTGCGGGAAAAATACCGGTATGAAAACGGTATTTTTGATACCGGTTTCAATCCCCGTTTTCGCCGAAGAACTGCATCTGCCTACTCGCCGTTAAAGTCTTTTCTTCTTTATTTATTTATATATTATTAAGGCATCGTGTCTCGCGCGTTTAATTAATAAACGAATGACTGAATAAATAGAAATATCATTAACTGAACAGCTCCGAGCAAGGATGAGGTAAATGAGATCGATGCGGTGTAATGATTTTCGAGAGAAGCTGTCGCAAGCTGTCACGCGCCTAATAATCCCCCTGGCGAGAATTCGACGTGCATTGAAGAAAAATACGACTGTGGCCGGCAAAATTGCTTTCGGGAGCGAACGCATCTGATTTTCCCCGCTCGACTATATAGAGAATAAGTCCATCCTGTAACCATTTTGATACGCGATTTTCTTTGTAAGGCAAACACGTTTNATATATATATATATATATATATATATATATATATATATATATATATATATATATATATATATATATATATATATATATATATATATATATATATATATATATATATATATATATATATATATATATATATATATATATATATATATATATATATATATATATATATAATTACGCGCGGAACCACAAAGAATGTTTTTTATATCTGCTGTATTTACGATAATATATATACACACATTCATAAATCACTGGCCGAGCCCGTCTTCATTTCAACACACATTAACCATGGGAGAACGGAAGAGTGAATAGTACGAAGCCTTAATATTCAGCTTATTTCAACCGTGCGTTTATTTCTACCTACTTTTACATATTATCTCAAGTCTTCGCTCGGATTGTATAATATTTGTTTATTCCCGCACGATCGTTATTGTTACTTCGGCACACCTGTACATTCCTATGTGATCGCGCGCGAGCATTGTATCGGCGGTGATTTAAGCGCGACGCGGCCTTGCCTGACGTTTAGCCCCCGGAAGGGTCGGCGAGATAAACGAGCAGCGCCCCGCGATTGCACCACGAAAGACTATTCCGATCCGTGAGTGATACGCGATTGCGTTTCCATTGCTCGGCGCGCACGGAGGCACGTGAGACACGTGCCTTGTACACGACACGGTTACCGCACGCACACCTCGAACACCCGCCCGGCAGCACTGAGAGTGTGTAGTCGGCATTATGTTGTTAATGCGTGCGCGAATTTTTTTGCTCGAGACCGTGGCGAGAGCGGCTTTGCTTAGCCGGTCGCGATACCCCCGGTGTGTTATGGTCGCGCAGTTATGCCCGGACCGCCGAAGGGGAAAACCGTCGCCGGGAGATCCGCTTCCACGTGAGCGTGCGAATTGAAAAGTACGGCTCGTATTCGCGCCTCGCGAATTACGTCACCGTCGGAGATCGGATGGGCGATCTAACGCCGCGAGAACATTCTTCCTGGCGCACACGCGAAATCTGTGAACTCGTAATCCGATCCGCGTAATATGCCCCTCGATTAATTTCAGAGGCGTGACCAAATACAGCAGCTAATACTGGACGTGCGACGATAGTGATGAGCGTTGGAAGTTGCGAAGCTGGCAAACCGGGCGGGAGAAATGTCGAAAAGATGTCTTAAAGACGACTAAGAGACGTTCTTTTTTATTTTTTCTTAGATATCTTTCGGACGTCTTTAAGAGGTATTTTAGAAATTTGTTCCGCCCGGGAGTGGATTAACTGGTGAACGCACGAGGATGTGGAGAGTTCGAGTCGAGTCGGCGACGGATCGTAATCGTGGTGAGACACGATTATAGCTCGAGCGATAATTTATACTGAAAGTGAACGCAATCGTGTAAAATGGGTTGAATACGCGCGTTTCGATGTAAGAATGAAAGTACAGAGAGTGTAATTTTGCGGTGAGACTGCATCTCTCTCTCTCTCTCTTTCTCTCGTGCTTGCGCAACGGAATATTGAAATTTAACGAAGCGTGCGTTAAAAGTGTTTGTTAACCGAAAGAGAAAAAGTGCTGCGTTCGAGTAAAAATAGTCGCCGAGTGTTGCAGTCATCGTTTTGCTCGGAGTAATTTGCAAGTAAATATCATTTGAATTTTAGCACTTTCGATTTCTCGGGTGATACTTTTTCCTATTAGATACAAGCGAAGTGCGCGAAACTCGTCGAAAAAGAGAAAAATATCGCAACTTTTTTGTGACTCACTGTACGACAGTGTCAAACATTTTACATCTCGGCGGATCTCGTGTCAAAGAACGGCTTTCCCCGCTTTTCAGTGAGTCCTCCATGAATTTGCCTAACGGCAACTCATATCCCGTTTTGCATGATTACTCCTGAATTATTCGGATAATCACCGACAAGGAAAGAGATCGTTACTCCGAGAAGAGTAGCGGGTAGCGATCTCCTCTGTGAAATTGTGAAATCAAAGTGATGTTTCGTAACACTCAGCGGAACTTGCTAACGTGCGTACGTTGAAGAAAAAAAAAAGGAAACAAGTCTCCGCACCAATCTGTTATTTGGCGTGTCTTCACCACGCGAGGTGGGAAGAGTCGTTAGCGTTATCTGCGAGGCAATTATCTGATAGAGCGTTTTCTTCCTTTTTCTCTCTTTTCCTCTCTCCTCACGACAAGCTGTTTACGTTTCTTGCCCTACATATGCCAAAAGCGGCGATAATAATTCATAATAATCAATGTGACGGGAGAGCGAGGAGCATCTTTTCGCGTCGTCACATCGAAGACGAATGTTCCAACGAGGAAAAAATTCGCGAGAGACGCTTTATTAAAGAGAGAGATATTTGCGGGAAACGCAACTGCCGCCGCTTCGTGCGTATCTCCGTGATCTTATTTACATTATGTAGATTGTGTCATTTACGCAAATGATATAAAGAAAGCCAACCGGAGAATAACGGGGATCCTCGTCCCCAGCTCTTCCATTTGATTTAATTTAAACTATGGGGAAGGGAAGTTTTTTGTATCATTATAAAGAAACATTCGCGAGGCACGTCGACTTTCTCCACTAGATATTGAATACTCTCTGACGCTACAAAAATTTAATTATCTCCTACTCGCTTTCTAAATTTTAAATTTATGCGTGACACTTTGTTCGAATACTCGCATTCGGGATATCCGCGATATCAGGTCTCGGACGAGGCGCTCCGCCGATTACAATTATCATTATTATTTGCGGGGAAAACACAAAATTACGTTACGAACGAATTTTTATCCGCCTTATCGTAACGACGAACATTCCTCAGCTGCACGGGGAAAGGGGAGTAATAACAGGTATCCGCGGGTATAGCGGAAGGAACGCCGAGACGGAGCCGCGTTTTGTCGCGGCGCAACGAGAGAATGTGCATGGCGCATGTAATGGTTGCACGCCGCGGTAAGAATGTTGGCTCTATATTTCCAGTTGCGTGGAACGTTGCGCTATGCGGGTCACTCCGTATGCACGCGCGTTTTTAAGAGCTCCCCCGACCGACGGTTGCCCGCGGTGGGCGGGAAATTTCATTAACACGACCAGCATGATTACCTTGAAATTATTCAATGTTGGAGAAAGGCACGTGCAATGGCTCATTTTACGCGGAAAGGACAATTCCGTCGTCGTCGGCGTAAGTGAATTTCCCGCTGCCTGCCTGCGAGTCAAACTGGAAAACTCAACCTGTGGGAACAGAAAGGTTCCTGCTGGAGGTTTCCATTCAGTCGGTCGCTCTCAGCTGTCTCGACCGAGAGCTTCGAAGTAAGCTGAACGTTCACACGAATTTCTGCTCTCAGTCCCGGTGACGGAGATATCGTTTCTCCGTCGCCGAGTTTTTCCATGTGATTCCTTGTCGTCAGGTTTTCACGTAGCCCCCTCGTTCAGTTGCTCAACAGCTGAGTTTTTTTTTCCCGTACATTCGTTTCCTTCACTCATGTTCCGAAAGAGTCATCGCCTCGCACTGTCTTGCAAAAGAGAAGTGAAAGAAAATGTGCACTGAAGAAAAGTGCTACCGTTCGAGTAGAGGAGAAGGCGGTATTATGGCCTTTGTAGGCATTATAAGTGTATTTGTAGGTATTAGGAGAATATCGGAATTTATTGTTAGAAAATATTTACTTTCTGGACAGAAAAGTGTTACTTAATTTGAGAAGCTCAAAACAATTACGTTTACTTGATTTCATCACTTTTTTTTCTGTGTGCAACTTCGAAAATCTCCGCGGCGCAATCCAGGGTGTTTTTAGCCGCGGTCAAGATGAAACTGTGGAAATCTCTCTTTATCGCGTTAAGTTACGGCGCTTCGCATTGCGACATCAAATGATAAATCCTTCGATGTACGCAGATA